TCGCGCGCGCGCGCGCGCGCGCGCGCGCGCGCTCATATATGCTCATGTATGTTCATGACCAAAGGTCAATGTCATATGTCTTTCTCAGTTGCTCTCCACCTAATTGTTTGTGACAGTCTTTCATTGAAATTAGAGTTCACTGACTGGCTAGACTCGTTGATATACAAGCCCTATGGATCCCCCTATCTCTGCTTCCTCGGTGCTGCGATTACAAGAACACACTCCATGATCAGCTTTTTACATGGGTGCTGAAAAACTCCAATTCATGCTCTAAGGTTTGCACGGGAAGCACTTTACCAACTGAGCAATCACCTCAGTCCCAACCACTGCCACTGCTAATGGTACCATATGACTACTGGGCTCTTCTCTTTGTCTGCCATTCCCACAAGATTAAAATGTCTCTGTGCCATCCTTATGTGACCCCTCCCTTCCCATGGAGAGGACCCCTGCAACTTGAGCCCCAGAGGGCCTCCACACTGCATTCTCTTATTTCTGGTTCCTCTTAACTGAGCCCAGGTTTAAACACATGAAGTCCAACTATATAGACAGAGGCCATGGTTTCCTCCTCCTCTGGTAGGAGACAGTTGATACTGCTCTGTTTCCAGAGTTTCCATTTGGACCCTCCACCTTTAGTGGTTCTCATTTACCCTTCCCTTTCTTTTCTTTTTGTAGGGTGGAAAATGACTGATCACATAGGTGTGGAGGAGGGCTCAATTCAGACCCTCAGAATTTAGTTGCACAGAGGATGACAATCTCCCCCTGTACAAGGCACCTTCCAGTCAAGACAAAGTGGCTGAGCAGAGGGTGTCAATCAGGGTGCCAGTTTCTGTGTCCTCCAAGGGTCAATTATGCCTTATCTCCACGGAGCCATTCAAGGCAGTCATAGCAGCAGCAGCACGGAGCCCCAATTGTGCTTCAGGGGTAAGGCATTCCTGGGATATCTCTTTCCCTGCCAAACCCAGTGGACTTACCCTCGGTAGGCGAGGTCTTCAGCCTCCGGCACAGCCCGCTGACATCTCCATAGGCTTCCTGGATCTTCTGCAGTGCTTCGGCACCTCGGAGCTCCATGAGGCTGCGCAGCTCTGCTAGTGTGCACCCAAAGCCACCCACATGGGGCACTTCCCGCTGCTGCTGGGGCTTGGGGTGGAACTCAATGGAACTGTTCGCCATGTCACCCATCCTGTCAGGCCTCCTCACAGGTGCAGTTTCGACTCAGTCGTAGCTAGGGACAGGTGGCCACCTAAGATCCCAGTGCTGAGGTGAGGCAAGGTGGTGGTGGGAAAGAGGCTAAGTGTGAACACCTGGGGAGAAGGAGGCAAGAAGAGGCCAAGGGTCTGGTTTGGACAAAGTGAAGGCCCAGGATTTTGGGGCTGTTCTACCCATCTTCATTCACTGTACTCTATGACTCACAAATGGCAAATTGACCTCCCAGGTCTCACCGGCTAGACCAGTCCCCTACTCCTGCCTATCATGAGCACCCAGAGCTAGAGGGTTTGTTAGGTGGTGAAGCAGGGAGTGGCGGGGCCCTTCTGCCACCAGCACCAGCCAGCTCTCACTGCCTCTCTGAACCACTTGAAAACCCAAATGGAAGTAAGGCAATATATTTGGGGTTATCAGTAGCTACTCTTGCTTCATATGCACAAGAGATCAGTGCCCATCACCAGCTTCTTGCTTGACCCTCTCACCTTACTTTCTATTCTTGCCTGAATAAGACTTGCCCAGTGCCACTGCCATGTTCTAAATCCCCAGAACTCCTCAATGGCTCAGGCCTGGGCTGTGCAGGGCTCCAGGGGACAGACTGAACCATGGAAAGGACCAGCTGCACTCCTTGTCAAGGTTGACTGTGCAGGGTGTTTCTGCAACCCTCAGGGTACCTGGGGGTGGGAGGAGGCCCAATGGCAAGTGGAGAGCAGAAAAAAGGGTGAGGGAGGGAAAGAGGTAAGGCAGAATAGACAGGTAAAAGAGGGTAAGGATAAGGGGAATCAAAGTGGAGGGGGCTGGGATAGGGCACAGAGGAGAAAGTCCAAAGTAACTACAAGTCACTAGTGACTGCTGACACCCTGCTCTCTAGTGTATTGCTACCCCACCCTGATGACAAAGAAGCTAAGGTCTTCCTTTCTGAAAACATTCAGCTGAGTGTGGTGGCGCACACCTTTAGTCCCAGCCCTTGGGAGGCAGAGGCAGAGGCAGGCCGATCTCTGAGTTTGAGGCCAGCCTGGTCTACAGAGCAAGTTCCAGGACAGCCAGGGCTGTTACACAGAGAAACCTTGTCTCAAACAAACAAACAAACAAACAAAAAACAAACAAACAAAAAACCCAAAACAACAACAACCTGAAAAACAGACCAAACAAACAAACAAAACCATCCAGAGCACAGCCAGGTCATAGCACCTTCCCCTTCTGTAGGGCTTCCTGAGGCTGTTGTCTACCCTCTGCAACAGCGCTCCTTAGCTTGCCTAAGAAAACTGCTGCTCCCTCTAGTTGCCATCTGCACCCTTCATGGGCTCTGACAGTAGGGCCATTAGGACCTACTGGACCTGTCCTCTTCCTGCAGAGCCATGTGCCAAACTTGCCACATTTGTCCCCCAGAACTGAATTATTCTCAGAGCATAGGGTTTTGGCCTTTATATCAGCAAACAACCCTCCTGGCAACATGCTTGGCTGGACTAGACCTCTCACCTTTGGGCAAAACCTCCTGGCTCAGAACAATACTCTCAAAAACCAGAACTCAGACATCCATCTAGGTTTCTTATGTAGAACCACCCATGGGGGAAAAAATAACCCAAAGCCTAGAAGAAAGGAAAAAAGGCCCTCGTGCAGCTAAAATAGAGGTGGTTAACTCCATGGCTGTCACTATCGGGAGGGCCTAGTGGGTTAGATCCTTTGAGTGCTATGGGGTGCCATGAACTGAGAATATCACATCTAGAGGAAGAGCAGAGGCATTGGGGGGAACATTCCCACACATGCTCTAAACATGAAGACTTCAGCTCTCAAGAAAAATTGTGTGTGCCTATCTGCAAGGTCTGGTGGGAGGGGAGAGGGGCACTTAGAAAATGTCCATCCCAATTGGTCACCATTTCACAGTTTGGACACCTGAGTAATAACTGTTTCATCACTTTCTACATGGACCAGGTTTCACTTCTGGAAGATGTGGGATGGAAATGGCAAACACAAGATGACTTCCCCATCTTCTCTCAATCCTGTGCACCTATCTCCCATCCCTTTTTCCAGTTGGTTATCTAAAAAATATTTCTTGGACATCTATTACATGGCAGGCAGTGACATTTTGTGCTAGAGGTGGACAAAACTAAACTAATTGCTTTTCTCTGTGTGGCTAAGCTATAGAAATAAGGTTCAATTCAGAGGCCCAAAGCCCTGGGGTTTCAGAGAAGGCATCGAGGAAGAACAAAGGGAAGAAAAGACTGAAAGGAGAAAGAGCTAAGCAAGGCTGGGGGAAGGCAGGACTGTGGTCCTTCTGCTTGGTTGAGCAGCAGCAGCCAGAAGCACTGGCTGGGGATGGCAGGAGCAAGCAGTGGGCCCACAGGAAGCTGGGTAGAATGTGCTCCTTCCACTGGCACTCTGTGACTTTGCCATGCCAACAACCTAGGAGGCGGTGACAAATATCACTCTCTTGTCAGTGTAAGAAGTAAAGACTTGGTTACGAGAAAGGACAGAGCCAGAGGAAATTGAGACTGCTGCCTCAAGGTAGCCATGTTAGCTTTTCACCAATCCCTGCTTCCCCAAACCCTACCCCAGGTGACCTTGCCTTAGGATGATGTCCTTGCTACTTGAAGGTGTTCCTCCTCCCCTCCTGTCTCTGACCAGTGCTCCATTGCTCCCCAAAGTCCCAGTGCATAAGCAGCTGGATGTACCTGTCAGGTTTGAGTTCTGTCTTCTGCTTCTGACACCCTCAGCCTGCTGGCTGCTGGAGAAGATGAATGGGTCTGGTTTGTCAGGGTAGACACTGTCTTCAGCCAGCACAGCCCGCCCCCTACACCCATGAGTCAGCTTCTCAGTCCCTAGTCAGGCAAGGCTGCTAGGAAAGGCCAGATCAACAGGGCTATAAGTACCCAAGTACTGGCAAGTGGAAACATGGGAGAATCCTTCCTCATTGGCCCTGAAGCCCTTTCAGCCCTTGTGGAGGGGTGGCCAGTACTTGCCTCAGGCTCTGATGCTCTCATATGCAAGGGCTCAGTACTACATTCACTCACCCCAAGCTTGAAGCCCCAGGGCTCCATCTGAGAACCTGCATGTCCCCAACTGAGTTGCCTAAGGACTCCACAGGGACTCTTTGTGAAAGGGAAGCCAGATGAAGGATTTTACTCCTTGGAAGCCATTAATCTTTTCAACCATTTTGCCCACCTGGAAATAGGGGTGCTCTTAGGCTTGGGGTGTGAAGTGAACAGCCTATTGGGTGAACTCTGAGATGGGTGCATGTTCTTCAGAGCAGGTACCTATAGGTCACTACTACACTCACCCAGACCCAGGAGCCCTGGAGGAGGACGGGGCTCCCCTAATGTAACTGAAGCATTTTTCTCCTCCTCCTCCTCCTCCTCCTCCTCGTCCCTGACCTGAAGTGTAGAGGTACTCCTGATTTTGGAATGCTGTCATTGCTGAAGATGGCTGGACCTTCGGTGCCTCATAGTAAGGACCCTGGGTAGAGAGGTAAAGCCATTGGTTTGATGAGCCATATTACCTCCCCATAGCCAGAGGGGCTGGAGCTCATAGCACCCCTGCTCCTGTGTGACTGTTCAGGTGTCAAGTCGTCCTCCCCACCTCAGTATCCCCCAATACCCTGACTACCAGTCGTGGCTGGCTCCCTTTTCCCCATCTTCCACTAAGCAAATGTGACATCCTGTCTGCCAGCAGAGAGATCTCCCTTCGGGCTAGCAACTAGTGGCCACGCAGCCCTGAAAACTACTTCCCCTGGCTTGGGCACCATCACTCCAGGAAATTCTTCCTATAATCCACGATTGGTTCTGCCATACACTGTTTCAATCTCCAGCCCCAATCAAGAAGACCAAATTCCTTCAAAGCACCTTCCAACTCTTCCTCTGCCCTTGGCCTGTTCCCCATGCCCCACACCAGCCTACCAGTGGCCATCACTCAGTCTACCAGAGACCATCTCTGAGCTCCAACAACACATCCTTCTCTCTCATCACCACCTGCTGACATCCAATGGCTTCCATTAGTCACAGTTCTCTAGAATGTATTTACCAGTTTGTTTTCCAGTCATAATTAATTGCTGTTGAGCCCAAGATCCCATGATCCATTCCTACTTCGCAGAGCTGGGCATAGCCATGAACAGAAGTACCTTTACTTGCATCCTTAATTCCTTGAGACACATTGTTGACCACTGAGTTGCCAAAGTGCACTGAGTGGTCTATCCCAGATGGTGATGGGGCTGGAGGAATTAGTGACTGGGCACCTGGTCTATAGAGAAGGATCTTGGAGCTCTAGAAGGTGGCAGCACTATCCTGGACAGCATGAAGCTAATAAATGTGGTTGCTCAAACTTTCCTCATGTTCATTTACCCAACAGGCCACAGTTCAGATAGAAGGCATCAGTTAAGAGGAGGCCCCCTTTGAGTGACTCTTGGCTGCTGTAGAAAGCAGAAGGCATATTCTCTTAATCCCTGGGTTGTTTGTAAACCTGGATGATGGCCTCCTCCAGTTTTAATAAGGACAGAAGCCATCACGGAAATGGCCAAGAACAGAAGTGACCAGGCCTATCAGTTCTGTAGGCCTGATAGAGTTTCTGGCCTGGGCTAGCTGCGGAGAATGGCCTGTAGGCATCGAAAGGGCAGGGAATGTACCATTTCTGTGCTCTTTCATCTTTTAGACCTTAATTGGCTTAATTGAATTGAGAAACTCCTCAGAGTGGCACTTGAACTTTCTAGCATTTGCTCCATCCTGGCACAAATTGGCCAACATCATGGGGTAGAGAGAGAGCAGGAACCTGTATTGGGTTCCCTGGCTTGGCTCACTCTCATAGCATGACTGTCAACAGGTTGTTACCTCCGAAGATAGTAGAGGTGTTGAAGACAGCACAAGTCCAGACCCATCACACAGATGCCTTCTGGACTCTCCCCCCTAGTGAGACCTGGACACTTTAATCCCTTCAGATACAAATGGAGCACCTACTCTTTCAGTGACTCAAATCTGCTTGACCAGAAAAACCTTCCTGGTATCTCTCTCTCTCTCTCTCTCTCTCTCTCTCTCTCTCTCTCTCTCTCTCTCTCTCTCTCTCTCTCTCTCTCTCTCTCTCTCTCCTCTCCCTCCACCCCATCGCTCTCTCACACACACCACCTTAAATGGGTTCTCTGCCAGCTCCTTCAATTTAATATGTGTGTGGTTCCCCTGACCCTAGACAGGCCGTGCCCTTCAGGAAGCTGTGCAGTTCCTGAGGGAAGGCTCCTCTGCTTCTAGGCTTCCTCTAGTGACACCACTCTTAACACTGAACTTTGAGTTGTCAATGTCCATGGGATAACAATACCTACAATACCCACCAACCCTTGCTACAGCTCACTATGCACAATACCTGTTTCACAAAGGGGGAATTAGGGCTCAGTTGGGACCAGAGACCTCAGGCATCAAGTGCTTGTTTGATGGCCAGAGGTGAGTCCCAGCCGCCCATACTAGGACACCTTGTTGCTACCCTGAGCAGCTTCCTTAGCGGGTTCAGATGGAACCCTTTGTTCTACTTGCTTTGTGGGGTTTCACAGCCTCATGTTCAGAAGGGTCTAGGAAAAGAGAGCAAAGTCCACTGCCATCTCCCACGTCAGAACTAAAAAAAAAAAAGCATTAAAATCAAGTTAGAAACTGTTCAGGGCTGTCCTCACCTAGCACCGGACAAGTCTGTGGGGACACATGTCCCTAGTGATGGGGCATCTAGCCACCAAGTGCTGCCACTGTTCCTAGGGTAGATACAGCTGGATACCAGCACCAGCTGCAGGCCAAAAAGTCCCAGTCCCAAGTTTTTTCTTAGTTTCTGGGCCCTGAGTGATCAGAACAGTTCCCTTACACAAATCAAGTGTATGGTGCCTGGGCTTGCCAATGTTCTGGTGCTAGAGCCAGGTCCAGGACTTAAAGCATCAGTCCATCTGGATGGACAGGAGGTAGAAGCCTGGGCTGATCTGGTACATGCTTCTACCTTGGGCCCCCTCACCGCCCACTAGTATCTCCCTATGGACTCACCAAGTTAGGACTCTTCTTCCAGATATGACTAGGCCTCAGCAGTGTGACTCACTGGGGGTTTCTTGAATTAATAGGTGCTGGTCTCTCTCTATCTTCAGGCACCTGGAAAACACCAGCCTGCCCATGTAGTGGAGAAAAGAGATCCAATCCAAGAGCAGGAGCAGAGGCCTAACCCCTGCCTTATAGTCAGACATCCCAGTCACACTTGCACACTGGGTGGGGCCTGGGGCCCAGCTAGGCAGCAGGTGGGGAGAAGGTCTGGGAGGAGGGAATCTTGTAAGGCAGCTGGCTGTCCACTCTTGGGTCTAATGATGAGGCAGATATAGGCTTGGCTTCGGGCCCTGGGGGTGGTGCTTTAATCCTTGATTTCCTACATCTTCCCTCTCAGCACAGGGCTCTTGTCTTCTTGTTCACTTCTGCCCCATCCCTCTGCTTGATGCACCTTGGTGACCACCCAAGGACAAGGCATGCATGCAGCCAGAGAGGGGGAGGGAAGGAACCAGGCAGAAAACAGCCTCATTAATATTTCAGAGACACTGTCACTGCAGCTCTTGGGCCCTCACAGCCCCACCACTTTTGCTGGTAGAGAGAGGAGGATGGGAAAAGAGAAAGAAATAAAACCGAGAAAACAGATTTAAAGGGATAGCCTCCCCCCACTCCATTCTGTCCTCCCCCTATTCCTGGTACAATCTGTGCACACTCTGCTGTTTCTGCCACTGCTGCAGAATAGCTCTAAGCCCAGAAGAGCTTTGGGCAAAAACAATAACAACAGAGGAGGGTCAACTGTCACCATGGTACCCTGCTCCTTGCTCACTCACCCACCTTCCTGAAGTTCTGCCCTTGCAAGCAAACCTGGAGAATGGCTGGTGACTTTCAGCATGGCAATAGGGACCCTACTCATTCTACAGGAAGACAGATGCACATAGGAAAAGTAGAAGTCCCTGTTGAGGATCCAGCCAAGGAATATAGATCCCAGAAAAACCCACACCCAGAATCATGGGGTTGGTAGGGATCCAGACATTGCTTAATTTTACCCTTGCTTGTGGGTAGGTCAACCTCAAACTGATGGCCAGTCACTTTAGTCTCACCTAGGGCAGCCCAGGCAAGATGTGCATGGCCTTCCCTACCTGGAGAACTGCCTGCTCCAAAAGGGAGTTTGGGACCTCCACCCAATATAATACCCCTCAAGAGCATCCCATGCCAAGCCCAGTTTGTGACTACATATTTGTCTGCTTTCAGAGGTTCTGGGAGTGCCCCAAGCTCTCCAGTCTAAAGAGGCCTCAGGACAGAATGATAGATACTGCAACCACAATGCAGTACAGCATGGCAGTTTCTGAAAAAAATTCAGCATCGTATTACAGCAGCTCCTCATCTCATAAGAGTAGGAGGCAGAGACCCACAGAGACTTGTATAGCCATGTTTGCAAAAACATTACTCACTGTAGCCAAAAAGTGGAAACAGCCCAATGTCTATAGATGGACGACTGAACAAACAGATTGGGTGTCCCTCCATTTGCATATAATGGAACATCAGTCAGGGAATTATCACACATGCTATAATGTGGTTGACATAATAGGACAGAGCCTGTCTGGACTCACTTCTGGGAGGTCTTGAAAGTCACCAGCCTTATAGAGACAGGCAGTAGGATGATGGGTGCTGAGGACTGGGGTCCGGATGAGGAGCTGGTGTTTAGTAGGGCTGAGCTAAAGCTTGGGACAATGATCAAGTTCTGGAGATTGATGGTATTGATGGTGGTACTGCAGTGAGGATATGGGGCATTGCTTTCAAGTCTTTTGGCTCTAATGGTGGAGATGTCCTGTTTTGTGGTGTGTGTGTGTGTGTGTGTGTGTGTGTGTGTGTGTGTGTGTGTGTTTGTGTTTGTGTGTGTTCTATAATGCCAAAAGGAAATAAACCCAACCAGCCACTTTTCTCATTTGTGTCCAAGGTGGTAGACAGGAAGCCTGAATGGTCTGCTGTGGTGTCCTAAGTCATGTTGTCTCACCCCTGGGCAGGTCAAATCAGTAGTCCATTCTGCTGATGTGGAAATGAGCTTTTAGGGAGAACCCCCTTATGGAAATGTCAACCTAAGTAGCCCTCTCCCCATGTGCCCTACTCACATCCCACAGCTTCTTTGTCCCTATCCCTGCTACTTGCTGGCTGCTGCTACCATTATTGCCCACCTTCTTGGACCACTTTTGTTTCTGTCTTGTGGTGCTAGGGGCAGACCCCCTGGTCCAAGAATTCTAAACAAGTGGTCTGCCACTGTTATGCTCCAACTTGCTCTTCTGATTGGAAATGGTTGAAGCAAACATGTAGTCCCTTTCTTGTAGCTACTGACAGAGCTTCCTTGGGAGCAGCAAGCCCAGTCCATCCTCAGAAGCGATGATCTAATCACTTGGGGAATGCCTGGCCTCAAGATGGGTGAATTCTGTTTATAAAATATGCCTTTGGAAGCAGATCCTGGTGGTCAAGACTTGTGATTCCAGATACGTAGCAGGCTGAGATGGGAGGATTGAAAGTTCAAGGCCTGACTGTGCTGTAGAATGAATTTAAGGCCAGTCTGGGTAACTTAATGGGACTCTGTCTCAAAATAAAAAAAAAATAATAAAAGGAAGGCTGGTGTAGTGGTTTGAAAACAGCCCCCAAAGGGAGTGACAATATTAAGAGGTATGATTTTGTTGGAGTAGGTGTGGCCTTTTGGGGGGGAAGTGTGTCACTATTGAGGTGGGCTTTGATGTCTCATATATACTCAAGATATGCCCAGTGTCTCAGTTAACTTCCTGATGCCTTTGGATCAAACTGTATGACTCACAGCACTAGCACCATGTCTGCCTACACACCACCACGTTGCACCATGATGATAATGGATTAAACCTCTGAAACTGTAAGCCACCCCAATTAAATGTTTTCCTTTATAAGAGTTGCCATGGTCATGGTGTCTCTTCACAGCAATAGAAACCCTAACTAAGACAGTTGGGAACACAGCTTCATGGTAGAGTTCTTACTTAGCCATCATGAGGCCCTGAGTTCAACCCCTAGCTAGTGCCAAAAATGGCTTTGAGAAGTGCTAATGAACCCCTAGAATGTTCTGGAAGGGACTATATGATATTTTTCTAGCTAGATGTCTTGCTGTCCAGTCCATGACTGTATTTTTTGACTCTCTTACAGCTACATATGACCATGTAACTACACTTTGGCCAACTGAATATAAACAGAAGTGACTGGGACAACTTCAAGGTTCAAGTTGAGGCGTGAAAGAGAAGGGACATGTTTTTCCCTGCTCTTCTTCTGCCTGCTGGCTGAAATGCTGATGTGAGGATCAGGTGGTAACAGATATCTTGTGTCATCTTGCACATGAATCTATGTGTATCATATAGGAGCCCACATCCCTATATACTAAGAAGCCATCACAGCAGACACAGATTATGTAGCTAGACTTCTGTGTGAGCCAGGAATTAACTTCTTTGCTGACAAAGCTGCTAATATTCCTGACCTTTACTAAAGAGGATAACCCCACAACCTAAAGAAATTGGAGATGCAGAGGGAAGAACTAGAGCCTCCACCTTTACTATGTGCCCAATTCAGGCCTGGTTGTGGGGAGTTAGGAGGCTTTCCAAACTTTCCAGGATCTGCCAAATCTCACACTTTCATGGGTTCCCTGTAGCATGTGATCATCTGTAGCCTGGCTCCCTCTCACCTGTATTATTTGACACTGTCCTAGATGTTCTAGTCAAAGCAGAGAGAGAAGACAGGACCATAAGAAAGAGAAAAGGTCAGTCCTGTCATATGCAAGCCAAGCCAGTGGGCCGTGTTGAGTACTGTGCATTGTGTGAATGATTATGATTGCTCTGCACAGTGACGCTCTATGTCAAGGGATGAGGATGCCTATTGTGGCATCTAAGGAATAGAGATTGAGATGCTTATTCAGGGTCATATTGCCAGCAAGGAGTAGAGGCTGATGTAAGCTTGGATAATCTGGCTTCAGATTCTGTATGGCTCTTCTGCTAAGTGACTGCCCAGAACATCCAAGAAAGCAATGGACACCTGATTAGAACCAATTCAAAGAGTTAATAAAGTGGCTGGATAGGTTGTGTCCTTGTGCAGCTCAAGCACTGGCTGCAGAATCATTCAGCCTATCTGGAAACAGGACTTCATTTTTCCTTGCCGAGTTGGTATGCACCCAGTGCAGATCTTCATGAGGCTTGATCTGTTTCTCTGGAGGCTTCCCCTGACCATTGGGCCAGGGAAAATAAAGCAGGGCAAGGCTCTTTGTTCAGTCTGTCAGTTTTGCTTCACATGTCTTTCCCAAACCTTTTACCTTTGTCTATCCTGAAGCTGATATCAGCCAGACCCCAGAGTTCAAAGGTCAGGACCAGGCTCCACTGCTGAAGCCAGAACATTTCGCTTGGCCTCAGGCTGGGGCCTCCCAGGATGTTTTCCATTTTAGGGGCCATCCCTAGGCCTGTTTGGATCCCACATGGCTCTGGGGTCCCTAGAATATTTTTGTGGGATGAGTCAACATGCCCACACAAGTGGTTCTTACAGTGCTGCATGGCCCTGAGTTACAAAGGGAGTTAGAAACTCCCTTCTGGCTGGGGCCATGCAGTATGGTTACTGGGGTCATGACTCTACATGGAGAAAGGGGACAGTCATTTGTTTTCTGCCAGAGAAGGCAGAAGCTGAAAAAGGAGAGAGCTGGAGAAGCCGATGGGCAGGAAGCATAATGACACTAATTATCCAATTACAGCGAGCTGCGCGGCCAGAGAGCTGCATTGCAGCAGGAGCCAAGTCAGGCCCGCGCCCCGCCCCCACACGCTTCTTGCACACGCAGGCCCTCACTTCCCTCCTGCCCTGAAGCACAGACAGCCAGGCCACCCTGTGGTCTCTAGAGAGGCAAGGAGACCAAAAGCCACCATGGCTAGCCTCTGTGAAAGCCTCCTACCCAGGAGGCAGCAGGTTCTAATCCTCCAGCCCTTCATATCCAGAAAACTCCCTGCTGGAAGGAAGGACACCCAAGTCTCCCAGCTCTTCTGGCTACTGTGGTACCAGTCCAATCCCAGAGTCATCCTAACAACCGGAAACAGCCAAGGTCTAAACAGGTA